TCTCTCTCGCTCTCTCTCTCTCTCTAAGTTGTTTTGCAGCACTTGTTTTACCCAATTTAACTACTTATCAATACAAAACCAAAACCGGATGCTGGGCACAGTCAAAATTGTAGATACTACTCTAAATGATTTGACTGATGTGTTTAAACTCAGGTCTCTTAAAAAAGGCAGAGTCAATCCTGGGTGAACCCAACCAACCCACTTTTGAAGGCTTCCTGCTGCTCCCATCTGGGCCATAGACACATCCTGCTTCCATCATGCAGCGCAAACTCACTGAAAAACTCTTCTGTCCCAACTGCCATTAGCCCTTTAAAAAGATTAATGTGATATTTATTTATACTATTCATTCATTACCATTGTACTTGTATTTCTTTTTATGTTCTTTTATGTAAAGAAAATTGCACCTCAGGGATTATTAAGAATCCTTGATCATGATATGTATTAGTCAACAATGCACCCTATAGGATACATCTTGTAATATGTAGGAGGCGGAGCTTTCCTATCACACATTAAACACTGATGTGTCAAAGTGAGAACATCATTTTACTTAAACCAAACATGCCATGATGCTGAATATGAATTTAATAATATGCTACCAAGGCCCATTTTAATATGGTAATGATGATCCCATCTATGTGCAGTAAAATGCAATTCTTCTTCTAATCTTCAATTATTTTGCTTATATTGGTCGAAATCAAAGTCTTCTCTCAGCTGATAGCTCCCATGTGCCCACGTTCAAACAGACTGACAGCCATCTTTCTCATGATCATAATCATTTTGGCTGCGGCAAGTACTTCTAAAATATATGAGCGATCAGCAAGTCTCAATTTGTTAGTCGAAACTACTGTATCTTATTAGAATCAACAATAACAAGAGTAGCTGGCTGTAATTTAGTGACTAGTTGGCTGATTGGGGTACAAAATTCAAGTGTAGCCTTGTGTTTCTGTGCATCTGTGTACACAGTATGTGTGTGTGTGTGTGTGTGTGTGTGTGTGTGTGTGTGTGTGTGTGTGTGTGTGTGTGTGTGTGTGTGTGTGTGTGTTAGAGAGGGAACCTTATTGTTTGTCTGTTAGCTCAGAGCTAAACAGATGCGTAAATAGAGATAGGAGAGCCCAGCCACATCAGATTAGACCAAACAACAAAAAAATCAAACTGTCTCTCTCACCCACTCCTTCTCCAGCACAAACACACAAACAAACACACATTCTCTCACAGACAGTAAGTAACACAGCAAAAAAAAAAAAAGCAAAGCAATGTGCCTCAATCACACGTCCAACCTTTATTCTGCACAACAGGAAATCTCGCTCCTGCACTCTACCTTGCATGTAAACATGTTCAGAAATTGTGTGTGCAACAGAAGCATACCGATACACACTGAAGAGAAAACACAGTGATGGCGCATACCATCACATGCCTCATAAACCCTAATGTAACCATTCTAATATCTCCATAGGCCCCAGGCAAATCAGAGAGAGGGGGTCTGTGATGATGAATTGATTGATGAATGCAAATGAAGATGAATGCACGTGGCAAACGCAGATAACAAGAGGGGTATGAAGAGTAAAGCGGCTGCTTCACCTTTTCCTCGTAGCAGCAAATATGATTAGCTGATGCGTATCTTGCCTATTAATACAGCAGCAGCAGTGACAGTGAACGCACCACTGAAGCAGATATGGATCCCTTATCAGAAAGCGTACGGTCCAGAATCAGCGGCCACCTCTCTTTCTGTAACCATCTGGCGGCTAATCACCGAGCCAGGAAGCACAGATCACACTAATCACCCAGCATCTTAACGTTTATTACCATATGGGCCGTGTCCTTAAGCTGACCACACATCAGAGTACAGTAACAATAAGCAGTCTGTGTTCTTAATTATTTATAGATATTTCATCACAAAGCATGCATAAACACAAATGTTTTGAGTGTTTAACTTGTGTTTGGACAAAATGAGAAAGATGCCGTATTTCCTCTCTAACTCAGTTAATTGAGAAAATATATCTGCAATTCATGAGTAATGAATATAATCATAAACTGCTGCTGTTTGCATGTTTACATTTTTGGTTTGAATGAATCAGTTATGACTTTTCTCGGATTGAACAAAATCAAAATAAAAGAAGCAAAGGTTACTTTGACCTGTATTTAGCCTGTTAGATAGTTTGGGCTGTATTTGCTAAGGTTTTGAAGAATCTGACGGACATTTCTGCTTGGAGTTCAAGAGGTGTGTTTGTTCTTATAAGGAAGCTATACGTGTTGGGAGGTTGTTGAGGACTGTCTAGAGAAACAAGACACATTAGGGAATAAGTTGTGTTACGTTTGTAAATTCTGACTTATTTCTTAATGCTGTTTGTGAAAACTAGACATTTTCTTATGGGTATACCTGGACCCTTAGGACCAGGTGCATGCAGATTTGTGTCCATATTTTAATGTCTGACATTTGCTCCCGTCTTTAACCACAGGTCTCAGGTCAGTCAATCTTCATTTGTAGTAAATCCAGAGTTTACCCAAGAAGAAGCGCTATAAGCTCTTATCTTCTTACCTATACTTCAGCATTTATTTGCTGAAAATTTGCCAACTGTTGTTCCACCCTGACTGAAAGAAGTCATGTCTGTGTTTAGTTTAATAAAACTGTCCTCTGTGAGCTACTAGGATAGCTCGCTAATTAGCTTCTGAGCTGTAATGAACACTCAGCTTTTTAAAGAAAAGCTTAAAAACATCAGCCGCAGTGGATAATGTTAGTAAATGTGTTCAGAGAGCCGATGAGGTTATCATGGTTAAAAGTTAGCCCGTCTAGCCGTAAACGTTGCTAGTGTTCCCTGTGGTTAGCGAACATGCTACATTATCTGTCTGTATCTTTTTGCAGAGCTGATCCCAATGAGGAGAGAGTTAAATCAGCAGCTTGTGGGTACAGAATAGGAAACTGCTTCACCCAGCGTATTTTTCAGTGTGTTTGTTTGGTGTTTATCCAGTTGCTTTGGGCGTTAACATCGAAATACCTTAGCCTGAGCTGTTCAGCAAGGTGCTGATGTCACTGCTCAAGTCAGCCAATCCTGTACTAGACGGGGCAGGACTCGTTGCCCAGGTGAAGGAAACAGATGCTGTCGGCTGATGATCACAGAAAGTGAATTTGTAGGAACAGATGGCCTGTATGTTGCAGCTGAATGTTTGATAGTAAAAATTGATGATAAAAAATCAAAGACTGACTGACATGTGAGGTATACTATTTGATAAATCCAATTTACAATATTCTACTCTATTTCCTATTGTGTCATTTCTCTTAAATTTCCCATTTAAAACAAAGGGGAGTATCGAATCGCAATACTTGTTGTTTCACAGGTACCCAAGAATCATGATAAAATCAAATTGCAACACAGGAATATCATCCCAGCACTAATATATATTATAAAAACGGCTGTGCAGCCAAAATTTGATTTTGGATGAAGTGACCCATTAAGGATTTATACAATTCTCAAACAAAAAGTATTAAGGGTTGTCACAAAAACACATGCACAAAACAAAGGTAGTGTAGTGACCAGGTGGCATATCAGGCATAATGACGACTGTGTTTGGGACAGTGATGCAAGTTCCACAGGACAGCTCTTTCCAAGTCTGATACATCGCCTCAAGGCATTGATCCAAGTTTAGACACTCACAAATTCACACACACACATAAACACAATACTGTTCATGTCTTCTGCAACATGTGTGTGTGTGTGTATGTGCGCCTTTGACTCAATCTCATATCGATGATTGTTCAATTAGAGGGAACAGAGAAGTGCGTCCATCATTTACCAAACCTCCAGGGGCCCAACACATTTCTATCAATACACAGAGACCTTTGCCCTGCTCCTCCTGAAGCTGCTGTTACATTTAAACACTCTATCTCTCTCTGTGAGGGTTTATACAGAGTGTGTGTGTGTGTATTTCTGCTGAAAGGTTAAACCCCAATCATAAGATCATAAGGAGTAAACCAGTTCACATTCTGCAGATGATCTAAGGGTAACTGTAGCTTCATTGATTTGAGCTGATCCCAGATCACACACAGAGAAGAGAAAAGGAATGATGACTGAAGGGAAGATAACAACACATTTAAAATTTAACGTCCTTTACACCTTCTGTATCCCCCAGAGATTCACCTTAGGATGAAAGAGAAGTGTAAACAACATAAAATCCAGCAGCTTTTTGTCAACAGATGGTTATAAAAAGTTACTTCCATATAAATATTTGATTTCAGCTCTGAAGCCCAAACATGAGGAGTTCACAAACTCAGCTGCAGTGTTGTGAAGCCTGCATGTTCCCTGCACTCCCTGCAAGCTGCTCACACACGATCACTGACACGCTACTGTAGTATGGATTTCTCATTCACGCGCACACGCGCTGCATCTCCATGCAAAGATGCACCGCCGGCAGGGTGACACTCACATGTGGATCCACAGACGCTCGTGTGGTGTGGCGCCTCCGTTTTGCTTGGAGAAGCAGAAAGAGGCGATAGGAGGGAGGCATGAGGGGAGAAAAAGGCAGGACGGCCAGGGAGGGAGCCAGAGATGGATGGATGGAAGGATGGAAGGATGGAAGAAGGGGGGAGGGAGGGAGGGGAATTGCAGAGGGAGGCGAGGGAGAAGGAGGGAGGGAGGGCTGGATGGGTAGGCAATGAGAGGGCTGAGTGGTTCTAGTAAATATTTATATTGCAGCATGATACGCACAAGAGTGAAAGGGGGGGGGGTGAATGGGGAGATATAGAGCGTCCATCCCTTTATTAATTTTATTCCGGACCGCTAAGTTTAGCATTCAACACGTGTCGCCAGTGATGGAGAGAGGGAGGGAGGAGGGAACGAGAGAGAGGGAGAGAGAGAGGTTGACGGTTGCTAGGTGACGGGGCGCATATACTGAATTTTAACAAAAGAACAGGGAAAGAGGGAGAGGGAGAGAGAGTGTGTGAGAGAGAGAGAGAGAGAGAGAGAGAGAGAGAGGAGAGGAGAGAGGGAGGGAGAGAGGTAGAGAGATCGGAGAAATTGAATACATGTAGAAGAGATATATATTTAGAGATATATTTTTCCCCCGCGTGCGTGTCTGTGTGTGCGTGTGTGGTGGCGGCGGTCGTGGCGGCGGTGTTTGTGGTGGTTGAGAGGGGGGACAGCCGCAAAACGGATACCTCAAAAAGGAAGGATGTGAAAAAGGATGGAGGGACGCAGGAAAAGAGGGGGGAAAGGCTGGTGAAAAACAGTAAGTACCTACATTTATTTAAATGATATTTGCAGTGCAGAGGCATTTCACCCCGCGCGCACACACAGAGTCTGTACTGCTGAGATGAATTGCGACTCGGGCAGTGAGCGGGTGCTACGCGTCATTGAGACAGGCATAGTGGGTTCGGGTGTCGGCATCTGGACGGCCGCTGGTGATGGAGAGACGGATGGCCTGGGATGGGGAGGTGGAAACGGCCGGCGCACGGGAGCTTTGACCCCTCTGTCATTGCTGCGCCTGAAAACTCACAAGCCTCTTCTTCGCTTCTTTACGCATAGATTCCTCACAGCAGCCGGCTTAGATATCCAAACCACACACACTTATTTTACCGGCAGTTCAATTAATCATATGGACTAAAGCTTTAGGCTGTGATTTTGTCTGCCAGGATTTTCCCTACATTATTAATAAAAACAGAGTTTGGGTTCCGTTTAAGTCTCCAAACATCGGCGCTGGCTGCAGTTTCCTCCTCACTCTGCTGCGGCTGTATTAATTGAGGTGATCATATCTGTTGATGCTCATTTTCTCAGGCTGCGTGGTCAGTGTTAGAGACTGAGTGTGTGTGTCTGCCTATGTAGCCACAGCTAAACCCGCAAGATTGCCGATCAGTTTTCCCTCTTGATCTATTTATATCCCAATACGCTGATTTTTTTGGGCGTATGGCGGCACACAGTTATCCCTCTGTTGCCACCGAGGAATCTTCCCCAACGGACTGAGTTGCCTCAAACACTCACAGACAGCTGGAACAGGCGGTGTTTTTTTTTGTTGTTGTTGTTGTTGCTGCTGCACGGGTGAAGGAGTGTGTGAGAGACTTCACTTTGTAGGTAGATTCCTAAATTTGCATCCCCTTTGGGTGCGCAGATAACTTTTGTTTTTGCCTTGCAGTTAATACAAGAAGAGGTGAATGCAGGAGCAAAACACACCAGCATAAAAAAAACAAGGCCTCGGTTCATAAGACCACCAAAGAAGAAGCTGCTGCTGTTGACATGTTAAACAAAAAGCACAGTGTTGCTTCACTCGCAGATTTGCTGCAGAGTCCAGAATCAAATACACTGTCCTGCATTGTGAGGCCATTTATCCACATGGAATTAATGAGTTATTTGTTTTTCCATTTCTGTGGGCTGTTTGGTGCCTCTCAGCTGAATTTTCAAGCTGATATCCATTTCAATCAGCTCTTTCACCCACAGGTGATGCTCTCAGTTCAGTTTATAATTTCCCTCTGAATTTTACACACAGGCGAATACTGCAGCAGTGTTCTGCATGCACTGCTGCCTGTGAAGTGTTGCCTTCAGTGTCAGCAAAGCCAATCTGTCCTATAGTTGCCCTGAGAGATCTTTACTGTACCAGCTGTGAGAAGGGGTAAGGAGGGGGGGGGGGATTGATAAGAGAGACAGAAGGTGTGGAGGAAAGGGAGATGAGAGAAGGTGTGATGATGAGGAAGAGGAGGTGGAGGGAAGAAGGCATGAGGGGAGAGAGATTGGAAAGGAAGCAAAACGAAGGGGAGAGTAAAGAGAAGGCTGGCTGGAATTGGATATCAGAAGGGGGACATGGTTGGAAGGCTCAGGAGCCCAGATGAGAGGGAATAGAGTCAACATTTGTGTGCTTGTTGTCTCCAACCCCCTGCTCTTCATCAATTTCACCTCATTGATTCATTGACGTTTGCAGAGAAAACCTCCAAGCTTAGCTCAACCCCCATTTTTGCTCATCGCTTATTTCTTCTGCCAATCCCCCTGTTTCTTCTCGCCTCAATCCTTTCCGTCTCTTCACCCCTGCAACCTGTGACTTCCTCTGCACTGTTTCCTCTTCCCCCTCATTCCTCATTCTCCCTCCTCCCCTTTCATCATATGTTTGATGCAACATTAGTGGATGGTTTCCTCAATCCTGCCGCCCACCGAAAAGCCCCTCTACCACCCTGTGCACCCACTGTTCTTTTTAATACCACTAATTAAGGTAAAGCCCGTTAACACAGAAACATCAATTAGTGTTTAACGAGATCAGAGGCTGGAGTTTTGGAGCGATTACAGTGCTCCCCTTGCCCAACGTTCCTCTCTGGTCTCTACACACAGTGTTGTATTGATGAATGTGTTGCATATTCACTTTGGCCTGCAGCAGTGGTGAGCCAAGAAGTGTGTGCATGTGCAGGCAGGGGGCTGTCATGTGATGCTTGATTAAATATTTCAAAGAATGTTATATTTAAAAAAGGTCTTAAGAGATATTCACAGCAAAACAATTCAAATGGTTTACTAGAAATGTATATTTTCTGTTGTAGCATAGAGCTCATTAGATAAAACCTGTAATTTCAAGACAGAATACCCTCCATTTAAATCAGCAAGGGACACTGTTTATCAAATTTACTATTCCCTGAAATTGAGCACTAAAGTTTAAATTGCACACTTAGGTCTAATGTAATTCATGATTTGACTTAGTTTTTTGAGCAATCAGGCTTCCAAAACCTCTGGGGTTTATTTGTTGATGACTTGATTGGCCAATCGACAGAAAATTGATTAGCACTAATGATTTTTGAATAATCCCTCCAGACATTTTAGTAAAAACAGTACTAAGATGGCAAATGGGCTCTAGTGTGTTCACTGTCACAGTTGCTGGTGTTCTCTGTTTATATTATACACATTTGAGTGTTTTTCAGTGCTATATAATAACACTAAGTATTGCATGTTTTTTAAGGTTTATTTTGTGTTTTTTTTTACAATTCTATTTAGAGATAGGACAGTTGATGAAATTGAAAATCAGGGAACGAGAGTGGGGAACAACATGTGTGAAAGGAGCCACAAGTCGGATTCGAACCCGGCCGCTAGTTTGGAGGACTATAGCCTCCGTGCATGGGGCACGCAAACAAACCACTAGGCTGCTGGCGCCCCTGTGGGGGCATGTTTTGACTGTTCTTGACATTTAATAATCTCAACAATATATAATGGGCTGATGAATCAATAAAAAAAGTACTTGGCATCTCACAATGGATTACTGTAGAGATACAATTTAGTGCAGTACTAGAGACTTCCAAACTTCTGTATTCAAAGAGACAGTTGTACTTTAAAAGACAATTTGATTTGAAAATGATCTGCTAGTCAACATTAGCAACAAACACCTTCTTTACTACTGGTGACACTTCAGTACATTTTTAGTTGATGCGTTCGCTGTCAAAGCTGCAAGTAAAAAGTGACAACTGAAAGTACAGAACACTAATAAGATGTAATAGTCACATTATGACAAGTTGGAGAATAAATAAACATCTTGTTCCGTGAGGGGGAAATGAGCATCATCTGTGTAATTCTTTGACTCCTGTGTCTCAGAAGAAAAGAGGGACATGATTAATTCACAACCTGATCTACAGCGACCTATTACTGGGTTGTGACAAATGACTTTCCACTGAAGAAGTTCTGCTCAAGGTTTCTGCCCTTCAAAAGAAGGTTTTCTTTGCCCCTGTCATCTAGTTCTGCATGAGTATAGGTTTGAGAGCTCGTCTAGACCTGTTCTAAATTGAGGTTACTTCTGTTGTGATTCAGTGCAAAATAAATGTAAGTGATTGAATGATTGACAGGTTTTAATTCTGCTTTAGGTGTGTTGAAAAGGCTTTTTTAAAGACTGAAACATCTTCTGAATTTTTTACCTTAGTGTACTGTAAGGCCAAGTTAATACTTTTTGTTTAATCATGCATTTGCGTACGTGACCAACTGTGTCATGAGTGTAATCGTATATAGACTTGACTTTAGGTGACTGTGTGAAGGTGAAGTGTTACTGAAGGATACCACTAGTGGGCACACCACAGAGCTCAGGCCTTATATACCTGATGTGTGGGATGTAAACAACAAACATGGCGACACTTGGACAGGTTACTATAACGTTTGTTCTGAGATCAGAAAGAAATTAAATATTACCATCAACAATCACCAGTAACACCAGATGATGTCCAGTGTCGGAGCACACCTTTGTCTCTGTCTGCACTCCGTCGGTCCGTTTTCGGTTCAACTTGTGACAATGTTAACTGATACCTTTCAGTGGACTGTGTACGTAGATGTCGTAGTAACAGCATCTGATGGAAAAACAGAGTACTTGTGAATTCTGCTTTTAGTTTTTCATTTTAATGTCAGATATGTATTTAATAAAAAACTATAAAAAAAACGATTTTATTTTTATTAGTTGGACAGTTTCAACTCAGACTTCTAAAACATATCACCTCGACTTTAAAACTTTCATCCAGAGTTCTCCCTGCTGCTGTGTTGACTCTGTCATATCTCCTCTGACTCAACACTGCCCCTCCTCTTAATGTGTATACTGCAACTCGCATCCATGGCATGCTAATCTTTGAGAACATTTAGAGCCGACGCGCCAAACGGACACAGCGAACGCGAGGCAGCCATCAAGCGTAGTTAACAGCAAGAATATTTCTGGTGTAAGGTAGCAGGTACCTTGGTTTTGCAACCCCTGAGGTGAAGCCCCAGGTCCCATCACAGCCGAACTATACACCAGGACTAGCAAAGAGAGTCAAAAACATGGTGTAGATGGAAAGACAGTAACTGATTGAACAAACAGGCAGAGAGAAAGGCATGCTTGCAGATAAGACACATTCATAAACAAAATCACACAGACAGGTATGAACCTGCACGCAGTAGTGAGGGAGAATTTAGCCTGTACACCTTGCACACTTGACTATCAAACAGGTGCACATACACAAACACATACACACAGATACACACAAACCGGAGCCAAAGCCCTGCGGCTTGTTTTGGGAATACAAGTCTGGAGGCAGCTAGCAGGCACACAGCTTCACATGGCTGCATGCAATACACAGTCACACACACTTTCAAAAAATACGTTCAGGCATATACCCATGGGTACGCAGGCACATACACACACATAAACACACACGCTCGGCAAAAAAAATTGAATGGCATATTGCGCACAAACACCAGTCACAGTTTTGGTTGAGAGGGGACCTTGGGACCTGGCCCATGGGATTTGCACACATA